TACGAAAATAGATTCATTCGAGGAAGAAGTCAATAAATGATTAAAATTGTTTGGCAAATCTTAGGCTTGCGAACATAATGTTTCGAAATAAGCACGTTTTTTTTTTTAATTTTAGTAGTTTTTAATCCAGGTCAAGACCTTTTTTTGTAACTCCAACCTAAAAAAAATTACCATTAGTCTTTTGAAAGAAAAACCTGTTAGAGCGGTTATTAGGAGACAAGATTGTACTGATTTTTAAAAAAAAAATTCCAAGGATAAGTCTTAAAATTTGTTCGCTCAGGTGTGGTTTTTCGCTCTTTGACTTGTGATTTTTCAAGTTAACTCCATTTCTTTTTTAAGTAAAAAAAGTCTCCACTATCGAACAACAATAGGTCACAGAATACGTGATAGACGTCTAGTTACGAAAGTAGATTTTAGTTTTTCCACCGAATTAAAATTGTACCTATTGATCTAGTTTTCTCAAATAGGGATCATTGTATCTAAAAAGTGTCAATCAAAAATTGAAACTCAATCAACCTTTTGGCCATATTTTTGTCTTTGAAGTTCGAAAGTTAAATTTTTGTCAAAATATGGTCAGGCAAATGGCTAAGTTTTTTCTTTTTGCTGGCTATGGTCAGGTTTTCTACAGAGAAGCGAACGTCTAGCAGTCATACTAATAGAAGTTTTTGAAGAAATTAAAATTAGCTTGACTGCAAGACTTCAAAAAATTGAAACTCAATCAACCTTTTGGCCATATTTTTGTCTTTGAAGTTCGAAAGTTAAATTTTTGTCAAAATATGGTCAGGCAAATGGCTAAGTTTTTTCTTTTTGCTGGCTATGGTCAGGTTTTCTACAGAGAAGCGAACGTCTAGCAGTCATACTAATAGAAGTTTTTGAAGAAATTAAAATTAGCTTGACTGCAAAAATTCAAAAGTTGAAGACTTTGAAACCACAAGTAGTTTTTTTTGTTTTCTTGCTTTTATTACTTTTTCCAATTGTCAGTTGGCTATGTTTTCACTTACTGATATCAATATGTCTTTAAACTTTGTCATGAGCGACAGACAGCAACTTGTGCATAAAGGGGGAAACAATCAGTCTAAACCGCCATAACTTTATCGCGAGCAAATCCAGTTAGCCATTGGTTAGCTTCTGTTGTCACCATTGCAGGTGCAAAAGTCAGCATGACCAAATAGCATGGTTACGAAAATAGATTCATTCGAGGAAGAAGTCAATAAATGATTAAAATTGTTTGGCAAATCTTAGGCTTGCGAACATAATGTTTCGAAATAAGCACGTTTTTTTTTTAAATTTTAGTAGTTTTTAATCCAGGTCAAGACATTTTTTTGTAACTCCAACCTAAAAAAAATTACCATCAGTCTTTTGAAAGAAAAACCTGTTAGAGCGGTTATTAGGAGACAAGATTGTACTGATTTAAAAAAAAAAAAAATTCCAAGGATAAGTCTTAAAATTTGTTCGCTCAGGTGTGTTTTTTCGCTCTTTGACTTGTGATTTTTCAAGTTAACTCCATTTCTTTTTTAAGTAAAAAAAGTCTCCACTATCGAACAACAATAGGTCACAGAATACGTGATAGACGTCTAGTTACGAAAGTAGATTTTAGTTTTTCCACCGAATTAAAATTGTACCTATTGATCTAGTTTTCTCAAATAGGGATCATTGTATCTAAAAAGTGTCAATCAAAAATTGAAACTCAATCAACCTTTTGGCCATATTTTTGTCTTTGAAGTTCGAAAGTTAAATTTTTGTCAAAATATGGTCAGGCAAATGGCTAAGTTTTTTCTTTTTGCTGGCTATGGTCAGGTTTTCTACAGAGAAGCGAACGTCTAGCAGTCATACTAATAGAAGTTTTTGAAGAAATTAAAATTAGCTTGACTGCAAGACGTGGGTGCGTATTCATAGGTTCCAAAATAAAAAATCAGTCCCATAGGTTCCAAAATAAAGAAGCAGTCGCATAAGTTCCAAATCTTTTCAACTGGTCAAAAGACTAAATTAGCCGAGTCTCGGCTTAAGGTCGCCGGTGGGCGCGCTACGCGCGCGTTGCCCTTTCGCGGCGATAACCGGCTCTAAATTTCGTATAGGGTCCTACCCTTTGGTGGCAAGCTCGCAACACGCTGGCGCGGCTGCGGCGGTCACTATTTTGCAGCTTGAGTTTATGCTGGTTGAACAGTAAACAATCGATCCATAAATTTGTTGGCTCAAATTTCAACCAATCAGAATTCAAGAAGATAAATTTTGGAACTTATGCGACTGATTTTTTATTTTGAAACCAATGAATATTGGAACCTATGGGAATTCACCCAAGACGTGCGTTTCTCTGTGCGAAAATTGACCAGATCTCTGTCGCTTTGTGGGAAAAGTCATTCTTGAACGATTGTTCAGCTTGGCGGAACACCTGTTCGGTGATAAACGCAAAAAATTATTGCCGTTACATCTGGCATCTCAAATATTTTTTGAGAATCAACCATGATTTTTAGGATGTCTTTATGATTAATGATATCTTTAATAAAAGTCATTGGCACTAGTATGATAGTCGGCTTCAAAATTTTTGAAAACATGGTTCGCATTTGTTTACTTGCGTTTTTTGAAGTTTTCGCAAAAATTGCGCGGCTGCGGCGGTCACTATTATGCAGCTTGAGTTTATGCTGGTTGAACAGTAAACAATCAATCCATAAATTCGTTGGCTCAAATTTCAATCAATCTGAATTCAAGAAGATAAATTTTGGAACTTATGCGATAGTACCGACTGATTTTTTATTTTGGAACTTAAGGGTCCCTTTGAAGTTGAAGGTTAAAACGAAAAGAAAAAGGAAAGAAAAATCTGATAGGAGTGGGATTCGAACCCACGCATCCGAAGATACTGCGGCCTTAACGCAGCGCCTTAGACCGCTCGGCCATCCTACCGTGGTAAATTGCTCTGATAGGCTGTCTATATAGTAATACAATTGAAGAAAGCATTATAAGACCATTTAACGGTTGGCACATAACTTAACTTTGTAGAATGCAGATTTAGCGAATGCGGCTCGGTTCTTTCTGTGGCGCGGCTTCCCCCCCCCCCCACTTCTGGGGTGTCTTTTTGAGTCTGCCCATGAATCATGCATCATTTCATTATGTTGATCTACTAAAAGACCTATTTTTCACTTGTTGATTAAACGGTGGTCTGCTAAACGATCGGTCCTCTTGTCTATCATAATTGTACCTACGCTCATTCTAAGAAAATAGTAATTAATTTATCAAGCGACGCTGTTCGATCGTTTCAAAGACTTTTCTTCAAAATAGATAACCTAGGTCTTGTACGCTCTTATTTAATGCTTTGATTGTCATCACCGAGACAATAAATTGAACAATTTTGAAAAAGTCCGGTCAATTAGACGGCAGCTGCTAAGATGACAACCAGTAACCACATGATGGGAAATTAAAACGACGCTACAGTTTAATTCTCCTTTTTTCCAGAATTTTTTTCGCTGAAACTCGAACAGTTCGATTTACATGTTTTAATTCTCATTTGTCGTTATAATGTCATGTCATCTAAATGTTTTGTCTTATTTACCTAGCACCAATTTTGAAGCACTATTTGAGGTAACGGGTCAATTTAACATCCTGCGCTCAGATAAACCAAGTTAAGATCCTCTACCCCAGCATTAATTGAATAAGTTTTGCTAAGCGCTGCTGCATGTAAACTGCTCGATTCTGAGTGGCTGAAAAATCCAACGTAGAACCAAGTTGACAGCCTCCCCCTACCCCACAATTGCTTCGGGGCGAAGATGTTAACTTCGTCCGCATTAGGGACCCTGTTACTTTCTTGAGGCCACTCTGTCAACCGACCGACTGGTGCATATCGATTTGATTGTTTTATGTTTTATCGGTTATAGTATACCCCTAAATGATGCCCGGAAATGATTATTTACGAAGTTGGACCAGTTGGATTGGTACTGGTACTAATATGATAGACTGGTCGGAAGAAAAGGTTCTTTGATAGACAGGTCCGGCTTGTATTTTGCATGAACTAAGACGGAAAAAAATTTGTTTAAATTAATCATCTCGAAAATCTCGCAAAATATGTTGAATTTGAAACTTTTTTTGATTGTAATTACTTTATTGTTTATATCGAGAAAATTGCTCGCTTCAGCTTATTTTGCGATTTAAAAACCATAATTGGGCTAACTTTTTTGTAATGATTTTTCCTCTTCAAACTATTTCTTCGATTATTTGACAGAAAATCTATATATAACTAATATATTTGTCCGCTAAAAGTTGTAAACAGAATATATCAAACTGCCGCTTAAATCTGAGTAGCTATTTTAGCCATTCAATTTAAAGAACTATAGTTTCAGTTCAAGAATTTAAACTTTGGGCGGAATTATTAAAAAGACCTTGAAATTGTTCGTCTCCAATTAAGCATGCCGGTGAAGTTTTATTTAAGAATCGATGAACGTGGTTCAGACTCCTATATAGGTCGCGATTATCTTTTTTTTTGTGTTTTTGTTTCACGAAAAGTCGTAAGTCCTAAAATTTGTTCAGGTTCAAATTTACTTTTCGCGGTTTTGGTTTTTTTTGAAAGTTAAGTTCATTTCTTTTGTTAAAGAAAGGCAAACTCCACTATCGAACAGCAAAAAAGTAAAGGTTTCTAAAAACATGGTCGACTTCTAGTTCCGAAAATGAAATTAAATTTTGTTAAATTCTCAAAAAGTGCCAAACATATTGTTCTAGAAATTCAAAGGCATCTATTTTGTCCTTTTTCTTTGTGTTTTTTTTTCTGTTTATTTGCGTCCATTAACTTTTTTTCATATGTTTGGGTTATGCTCATCAGTTTGTAATGATGTAAAAAGAATGTTCCTGAAATTTTATTCCGGTAATTTTTTTTGTTCATGTCAGCGCGATCTAGCCGTCGCAAGGTTTTTCTATGATTTTTATCCTGAATGACTGTTTGCCAACTGGCTGCAATTCGTAAATTTGTATGAATAATTTATTCAATGAGACTTTTCTGAAAAAGAACATTTGATTAGGCTTTTCTGGAGCACCAAAGAGCCCACTAGTCGGACATTGTATCGCCTCTCTGTGACAGAGTCTTCAGTTCTTTCGTCATCAGACAGTGCTAAACATTTCACAGAAAAAGCCAGGAAGCTTTCCTCTTCGTCAGATCCTCTCAACTCGAAAATACCTGAACGGCTGAAAATAAAGCAGAGAAAAAGATCGAGCTCATACACTTTTCACCCGATTAATCAAGATATGTTAACATATTTTAATGTTCACTCCAATTCGCGCATGTGTCCAGAGTTTTCATCTGGATTAGAATCCGAAGTTGATCTCAACAACACTACCTTTATTGGCAACAGCCCTTCAAAAGGCCTGAAGGCTGAGGAGTTTGATCCGAAATGTTTTAAAATCTACCTCAGAAATCACTCAATACAAAACTTCATGCAGCAGAACGCCACCTGCTTGGAATCAAATCGCAGAAAAGATGAAGAAGAGTCTTTTTGTCATATATGTGGAGCAAATATTTCAAAAATTGGATTGAGTGAACATTATGCTGTGTGCAGCAGATTGGCAGAACGCTTCGGCAAAATATTCCCCAAGTCAGCCTGCAGTAAGTTTATAATGCTATGTTTTTTTTAAACGTTTGCGTTTTTGTAAAAATAAATTATAAACGTCTATTTTTGGTCTTACAAAGTTTAGAGTATACTTTACAATTCAAGTTATTTTCGAAGTTATAAGTTCCGATAATTTGCAAGATATATTAAGATTCATTAACCAAGTATTGTATGACGATCAATGTGTCGTAGATTTTGTTGATCCATTTGTAACTTAAGGTTTTTACGACTTTTCATCTCGCAGAAGGAAGGACAATGAGAGTGCGTTGCTGAACCGATACATGCAATTCGTGAACAAAAATAGTGACACAGTCTCTACGGATGAGTTTATGAGGAGACAGAGACAACTGAGACGCAAAGTTAACAGAGGAGCTCCTAGACTCCTCTTCAAACTGAAGAGTGACGATGGTTTTGAGATACAGTCTCACTCTTTGCAAGGTTGGGAGAAGATAAATAGGATCTTGATAAATGTTCCCCCTATCAGTGTTTTGTACACATTATTTGATATAGGACAAATTATACGAAAAAACCTTATGCAGACGATCTTATATATTAAATGAAAGTCTTAATGCGCTGTGGACGCAACGTTTTAACTTTTCTATCGAGCACAACGTTTAAGAATCATTCAAAGCAACCATCAGAGAAAAATGAACTCGATCCAATTTCAAGGCTGGGCAGTACCTGCCTATTTTTGTCCAAAATTTTGCGTTTACATATTCATTTCAGTCTGAAGCGAATTAACTGAAAACAGCAACCTCCATGTCGAGAAAATTTTTTTCGAAAACCGATTCGGTCCATGAAATAAATATAAATATTTCAACCTTATATATTAAATGAAAGTCTTAATGCGCTATGGATGCAACGTTTTAACTTTTCTGTCGAGCACAACGTTTAAGAATCATTCAAAGCAACCATCAGAGAAAAATGAACTCGGTCCAATTTCAAGGACGGACAGTACTTGCTAATTGTTGTCCAAAATTTTGCGTTTACAGATTCATTTCAGTCTGAAACGAATTAACTGAAAACAGCAACCTCCGTGCTGAGAAAATGTTTTTCGAAAACCGATTCGGTCCATGAAATAAATATAAATATTTCAAAGTTGTTTAGCTTTATCATTCAAACTTTTATAGCTTGAAGCTTGCTTAGAAAAGCTTGCTCATGAAGCTTGTGTAAAATTTTTCGCGTACCGATTCAGTCCACGAAATAACTTGAAAATTTTTAATTTTCATAGCTTGAATAGCTTGCTTAGAAAACTTTAAGCTTTTCGCAAACTGATTCGTTTTATAGATAACTTGAATTATTTCAAATTTTCTAGCTGAAAAAACTTGCATAGAAGAACTTAATTGTTTCACGAACTGAGATACAGTCTCACTCTTTGCAAGGTTGGGAGAAGATAAATAGGATCTTGATAAATGTTCCCCCTATCAGTGTTTTGTACACATTATTTGATATAGGACAAATTATACGAAAAAACCTTATGCAGACGATCTTATATATTAAATGAAAGTCTTAATGCGCTGTGGACGCAACGTTTTAACTTTTCTATCGAGCACAACGTTTAAGAATCATTCAAAGCAACCATCAGAGAAAAATGAACTCGATCCAATTTCAAGGCTGGGCAGTACCTGCCTATTTTTGTCCAAAATTTTGCGTTTACATATTCATTTCAGTCTGAAGCGAATTAACTGAAAACAGCAACCTCCATGTCGAGAAAATTTTTTTCGAAAACCGATTCGGTCCATGAAATAAATATAAATATTTCAACCTTATATATTAAATGAAAGTCTTAATGCGCTATGGATGCAACGTTTTAACTTTTCTGTCGAGCACAACGTTTAAGAATCATTCAAAGCAACCATCAGAGAAAAATGAACTCGGTCCAATTTCAAGGACGGACAGTACTTGCTAATTGTTGTCCAAAATTTTGCGTTTACAGATTCATTTCAGTCTGAAACGAATTAACTGAAAACAGCAACCTCCGTGCTGAGAAAATGTTTTTCGAAAACCGATTCGGTCCATGAAATAAATATAAATATTTCAAAGTTTCTTAGCTTTATCATTCAAACTTTTATAGCTTGAAGCTTGCTTAGAAAAGCTTGCTCATGAAGCTTGTGTAAAATTTTTCGCGTACCGATTCAGTCCACGAAATAACTTGAAAATTTTTAATTTTCATAGCTTGAATAGCTTGCTTAGAAAACTTTAAGCTTTTCGCAAACTGATTCGTTTTATAGATAACTTGAATTATTTCAAATTTTCTAGCTGAAAAAACTTGCATAGAAGAACTTAATTGTTTCACGAACTGATTCAGTCTATGAACTAAATTGAACTATTTCAAAGTTTCGTAGCTTTAAAAGCTTGCTTAGGAAAACCTATACTTTTCGCGAACCGATTCGGTCTGCCCAAAAAACTTGAAACTCAATCAACCTTTTGGCCATATTTTTGTCTTTGAAGTTCGAAAGTTGAATTTTTGTCTAAATATGGTCAGGCAAATGGCTAAGTTTTTTCTTTTTGCTGGCGATGGTCAGGTTTTCTACAGAGAAGCGAACGTCTAGCAGTCATACTAATAGAAGTTTTTGAAGAAATTAAAATTAGCTTGACTGCAAGACGTGGGTGCGTATTCATAGGTTCCAAAATAAAAAATCAGTCCCATAGGTTCCAAAATAAAGAAGCAGTCGCATAAGTTCCAAATCTTTTCAACTGGTCAAAAGACTAAATTAGCCGAGTCTCGGCTTAAGGTCGCCGGTGGGCGCGCTACGCGCGCGTTGCCGCTTCGCGGCGATAACCGGCTCTAAATTTCGTATAGGGTCCTACCCTTTGGTGGCAAGCTCGCAACACGCTGGCGCGGCTGCGGCGGTCACTATTTTGCAGCTTGAGTTTATGCTGGTTGAACAGTAAACAATCGATCCATAAATTTGTTGGCTCAAATTTCAACCAATCAGAATTCAAGAAGATAAATTTTGGAACTTATGCGACTGATTTTTTATTTTGAAACCAATGAATATTGGAACCTATGGGAATTCACCCAAGACGTGCGTTTCTCTGTGCGAAAATTGACCAGATCTCTGTCGCTTTGTGGGAAAAGTCATTCTTGAACGATTGTTCAGCTTGGCGGAACACCTGTTCGGTGATAAACGCAAAAAATTATTGCCGTTACATCTGGCATCTCAAATATTTTTTGAGAATCAACCATGATTTTTAGGATGTCTTTATGATTAATGATATCTTTAATAAAAGTCATTGGCACTAGTATGATAGTCGGCTTCAAAATTTTTGAAAACATGGTTCGCATTTGTTTACTTGCGTTTTTTGAAGTTTTCGCAAAAATTGCGCGGCTGCGGCGGTCACTATTTTGCAGCTTGAGTTTATGCTGGTTGAACAGTAAACAATCGATCCATAAATTTGTTGGCTCAAATTTCAACCAATCAGAATTCAAGAAGATAAATTTTGGAACTTATGCGACTGATTTTTTATTTTGAAACCAATGAATATTGGAACCTATGGGAATTCACCCAAGACGTGCGTTTCTCTGTGCGAAAATTGACCAGATCTCTGTCGCTTTGTGGGAAAAGTCATTCTTGAACGATTGTTCAGCTTGGCGGAACACCTGTTCGGAATTTTTGTCTAAATATGGTCAGGCAAATGGCTAAGTTTTTTCTTTTTGCTGGCGATGGTCAGGTTTTCTACAGAGAAGCGAACGTCTAGCAGTCATACTAATAGAAGTTTTTGAAGAAATTAAAATTAGCTTGACTGCAAGACGTGGGTGCGTATTCATAGGTTCCAAAATAAAAAATCAGTCCCATAGGTTCCAAAATAAAGAAGCAGTCGCATAAGTTCCAAATCTTTTCAACTGGTCAAAAGACTAAATTAGCCGAGTCTCGGCTTAAGGTCGCCGGTGGGCGCGCTACGCGCGCGTTGCCGCTTCGCGGCGATAACCGGCTCTAAATTTCGTATAGGGTCCTACCCTTTGGTGGCAAGCTCGCAACACGCTGGCGCGGCTGCGGCGGTCACTATTTTGCAGCTTGAGTTTATGCTGGTTGAACAGTAAACAATCGATCCATAAATTTGTTGGCTCAAATTTCAACCAATCAGAATTCAAGAAGATAAATTTTGGAACTTATGCGACTGATTTTTTATTTTGAAACCAATGAATATTGGAACCTATGGGAATTCACCCAAGACGTGCGTTTCTCTGTGCGAAAATTGACCAGATCTCTGTCGCTTTGTGGGAAAAGTCATTCTTGAACGATTGTTCAGCTTGGCGGAACACCTGTTCGGTGATAAACGCAAAAAATTATTGCCGTTACATCTGGCATCTCAAATATTTTTTGAGAATCAACCATGATTTTTAGGATGTCTTTATGATTAATGATATCTTTAATAAAAGTCATTGGCACTAGTATGATAGTCGGCTTCAAAATTTTTGAAAACATGGTTCGCATTTGTTTACTTGCGTTTTTTGAAGTTTTCGCAAAAATTGCGCGGCTGCGGCGGTCACTATTTTGCAGCTTGAGTTTATGCTGGTTGAACAGTAAACAATCGATCCATAAATTTGTTGGCTCAAATTTCAACCAATCAGAATTCAAGAAGATAAATTTTGGAACTTATGCGACTGATTTTTTATTTTGAAACCAATGAATATTGGAACCTATGGGAATTCACCCAAGACGTGCGTTTCTCTGTGCGAAAATTGACCAGATCTCTGTCGCTTTGTGGGAAAAGTCATTCTTGAACGATTGTTCAGCTTGGCGGAACACCTGTTCGGTGATAAACGCAAAAAATTATTGCCGTTACATCTGGCATCTCAAATATTTTTTGAGAATCAACCATGATTTTTAGGATGTCTTTATGATTAATGATATCTTTAATAAAAGTCATTGGCACTAGTATGATAGTCGGCTTCAAAATTTTTGAAAACATGGTTCGCATTTGTTTACTTGCGTTTTTTGAAGTTTTCGCAAAAATTGCGCGGCTGCGGCGGTCACTATTATGCAGCTTGAGTTTATGCTGGTTGAACAGTAAACAATCAATCCATAAATTCGTTGGCTCAAATTTCAATCAATCTGAATTCAAGAAGATAAATTTTGGAACTTATGCGATAGTACCGACTGATTTTTTATTTTGGAACTTAAGGGTCCCTTTGAAGTTGAAGGTTAAAACGAAAAGAAAAAGGAAAGAAAAATCTGATAGGAGTGGGATTCGAACCCACGCATCCGAAGATACTGCGGCCTTAACGCAGCGCCTTAGACCGCTCGGCCATCCTACCGTGGTAAATTGCTCTGATAGGCTGTCTATATAGTAATACAATTGAAGAAAGCATTATAAGACCATTTAACGGTTGGCACATAACTTAACTTTGTAGAATGCAGATTTAGCGAATGCGGCTCGGTTCTTTCTGTGGCGCGGCTTCCCCCCCCCCCCCCCCCCACTTCTGGGGTGTCTTTTTGAGTCTGCCCATGAATCATGCATCATTTCATTATGTTGATCTACTAAAAGACCTATTTTTCACTTGTTGATTAAACGGTGGTCTGCTAAACGATCGGTCCTCTTGTCTATCATAATTGTACCTACGCTCATTCTAAGAAAATAGTAATTAATTTATCAAGCGACGCTGTTCGATCGTTTCAAAGACTTTTCTTCAAAATAGATAACCTAGGTCTTGTACGCTCTTATTTAATGCTTTGATTGTCATCACCGAGACAATAAATTGAACAATTTTGAAAAAGTCCGGTCAATTAGACGGCAGCTGCTAAGATGACAACCAGTAACCACATGATGGGAAATTAAAACGACGCTACAGTTTAATTCTCCTTTTTTCCAGAATTTTTTTCGCTGAAACTCGAACAGTTCGATTTACATGTTTTAATTCTCATTTGTCGTTATAATGTCATGTCATCTAAATGTTTTGTCTTATTTACCTAGCACCAATTTTGAAGCACTATTTGAGGTAACGGGTCAATTTAACATCCTGCGCTCAGATAAACCAAGTTAAGATCCTCTACCCCAGCATTAATTGAATAAGTTTTGCTAAGCGCTGCTGCATGCGTTGCTGAACCGATACATGCAATTCGTGAACAAAAATAGTGACACAGTCTCTACGGATGAGTTTATGAGGAGACAGAGACAACTGAGACGCAAAGTTAACAGAGGAGCTCCTAGACTCCTCTTCAAACTGAAGAGTGACGATGGTTTTGAGATACAGTCTCACTCTTTGCAAGGTTGGGAGAAGATAAATAGGATCTTGATAAATGTTCCCCCTATCAGTGTTTTGTACACATTATTTGATATAGGACAAATTATACGAAAAAACCTTATGCAGACGATCTTATATATTAAATGAAAGTCTTAATGCGCTGTGGACGCAACGTTCTAACTTTTCTATCGAGCACAACGTTTAAGAATCATTCAAAGCAACCATCAGAGAAAAATGAACTCGATCCAATTTCAAGGCTGGGCAGTACCTGCCTATTTTTGTCCAAAATTTTGCGTTTACATATTCATTTCAGTCTGAAGCGAATTAACTGAAAACAGCAACCTCCATGTCGAGAAAATTTTTTTCGAAAACCGATTCGGTCCATGAAATAAATATAAATATTTCAACCTTATATATTAAATGAAAGTCTTAATGCGCTATGGACGCAACGTTTTAACTTTTCTGTCGAGAACAACGTTTAAGAATCATTCAAAGCAACCATCAGAGAAAAATGAACTCGGTCCAATTTCAAGGACGGACAGTACTTGCTAATTGTTGTCCAAAATTTTGCGTTTACAGATTCATTTCAGTCTGAAACGAATTAACTGAAAACAGCAACCTCCGTGCTGAGAAAATGTTTTTCGAAAACCGATTCGGTCCATGAAATAAATATAAATATTTCAACGTTTCTTAGCTTTATCATTCAAACTTTTATAGCTTGAAGCTTGCTTAGAAAAGCTTGCTCATGAAGCTTGTGTAAAATTTTTCGCGTACCGATTCAGTCCACGAAATAACTTGAAAATTTTCAATTTTCATAGCTTGAATAGCTGCTTAGAAAACTTTAAGCTTTTCGCAAACTGATTCGTTTTATAGATAACTTGAATTATTTCAAATTTTCTAGCTGAACAAACTTGCATAGAAGAACTTAATTGTTTCACGAACTGATTCAGTCTATGAACTAAATTGAACTATTTCAAAGTTTCGTAGCTTTAAAAGCTTGCTTAGGAAAACCTATACTTTTCGCGAACCGATTCGGTCTGCCCAAAAAACTTGAAAAAGTTCAAAGTTTTATAGCTTTATCGTTCAAAGTTTTATACCTGTAAAGCTTGCATAGAAAAACAGAAACTTTTGCGCACCGATTCGGTCTACGAAATAACTTGAAAAATTTCAAAGTTTCATAGCTTGAATAGCTTGCTTAGAAAACTTCGAGCTTTTCGCAAACTGATTCGGTTTATAGATAACTTGAATTATATCAACATTTCTAGCTGAAAAAGCTCGCTTAGAAGAACTTAATTGTTTCACGAACTGATTCAGTCTATGAACTAAATTGAAATATTTCAAAAAATCGTAGCTTTAAAAGCTTGCTTAGAAAAAATGAAACTTTTCGCGTACCGATTCGGTCCACGCAATAACTTGCCAAAGTTCAAAGTTTCATAGCTTGAGTAGCTTGCTTAGAAAACTTCAACTTTTGGTAAAACGATTCGGTCTACGAAGCGCTGAGATTTTTTGAAGTTCATGGCTCGATTAGCTTGCGCAGGAAACTAATTTTCGCAAACGGTTCTGTCTAATAATTACCTTAATATTTCAATTTTTTTTAGCTACACTAGCTTGATTAAGTGAAGTTGATTTTTTTTTCGAACTGATTCGCTCTCTTAGCTCGCTCCATTAGCTCGCTTAAAAAACCCATTTTTCGCAAAGTGTTTCGATCTAAACAACTCGAAATATTTCAATTGTTTATAGCTTCATTAACTTGCTTGGGTGTTTTGCCAACCAATTCGCTCCATGAAATTAATTGAAGTATTGAAGTTTAATAGCTTGAACAGCTTGCTTAAAAAAACTTAGTGCTCCGATTCGCTTCACGAAATTAACTTGAATTATTCAAGGTTTCGTAGCTTGAATAGCTTGCTCAGAGTAAGTTTCATTTTTTCGTGAACTGATTCGTTCTATGATTCTTAAAGTTTTCAAACCGATTTACGATCTGGCTCAGCTTGAGATTTCGAAGTTTTATAGCTTGATCAGAACAGCAACTATTTTGTGCGAGCTGAGTGATTACTGGAGAAAGGCTTCCTAATATAATTTTATACGAAAGACTAGGGCTTTAAGATATATATTGGGTGACATTGAAAGCGCCCATTTCAGTAATAAATTTGAGCACATTTCAGCAACAAAATTTCTAAAGATGAGTTTCCTTTGTAAGCTTGAAAGATAATTATGCCTGAAACTAACCAGCAAAACCCAGTTTTGATTTTGAAAAAAACAAAGGTATGTTCATGGCTCATCCTTTAGTTTTGTTTCGTTAAGTGGCCTTAACAAGACGAGGTTGTTTCCAGAACTATGACTGAAACAAAGTTTCAACAAATACACCTTGGAAGATTTTTTTGCTTTTTCGAAATTCTACTGTTGCGTTTTCAATGTCGCCCACTATATTCTATGATTATGGAAAAACGATAATTGGCAATTTTGATGGTTGTTTTTCTTTGAGTATGATAGGGTTGATTTTTATCAGGGGCAGACCATGTGCGCCAAAAAATTTCAATGAGATGCTCATTTTGACAATTTTCAGAGGAATAAAAAAATTAGCTTGATCGATACAAATCACTCTTATTGGTTAGGTTAATATAAATCATTTAAGAATATTAACTTTTGAAGAGGTTTATTGCGATATGTTTTTTTTTCGAAAGTTCAAACAAAATGTCATTAATCGCTTTCTTTGAATTTATTGAGTTCATTGAGATTTTTCCGACTGGTTTTTGGCTTTTATTTCTTTGAATCAATTTTTCGCTCACTAAGTTAGTGAAGAATTTTTCTGTAAAAAGTTCCAATTTTTTCTCGATCAAACTTTTATTGATTTGACTTTGTGCTGAAGGTTCTTCTAAAGTTCCTTACACAAAATACGCTCTCCTATAACAAAAGTGAAATTGATACAAAAAACGCGATTGACTTTGATTCAAATGTAGAATTTAGTTTATAAGTTTAACGGTTTTTTGGATTTTTGGAGATAATTTTATGAAAAGGAATGTAAACTCCACTATGGAACAGCAAACGTGAATTGTTTCGAAAGTTAAATTTAATTTTTAGATTTCCCTGTGAAATAAAGTTTAACTTATTGATCCAGTTTTCTCAAATATGGTTAATTTTTAATTTCAAAGATTTAGATTTTCCAAAAAACTTAAAAAGTATGTTTTGTTTACTTGAGTTGGAAAAGATTCATGAAATCTTCTGTTGGCCATGTTTGGCACTTCCAGCTGTCGTCTGGCTGCGTTAATACTTTTTCGTTGAGGTATATCTTTGAAATATTTGCAGAAGTCTGGAGCAAAGTGTTCGAGGAAGTATGGCTAAAAAGAGTGGAGCGAGGCATCCTACAGAAGAGCATTTCGCCTGCAGATGGGGACTTGATTGGTGGTAACTGGAGGGTGTTTTCCAAGATTGACAACATGAACAGTCTCAAGCTGTCCGGCCTCAGTTTTGACAGTCTGATCTTTCTGCTGGAACAGATCCCAAGTGCCAAGTTCTGCAGCAAGTACAAGTTTAAGTTCTTCAATCTGAAAGTGCAGCCGCTGCAGATCAACGAGTCGGGGTGTGCGCGATGTGAGGTGAGTTGTTAACATGATCTTTGTTTTTACCCTTTTCCTTCAGACATTTTGCCAGTGCTGATGGTAAGTCTCAACTTCAATTTTAATGGATCTACTCCCATACACTGCTCACCTTGGTCCATACCAAGTAATCATTTTAACTCTATGAAAATCTATTAATGAAACTTAAATTATTTGTCAACCCAATGAAGAAAATTTCTACTTTTAACGAAACAGGTGGTTATAATTTGAATTTTTTTTAAACTAAGTGTCAATGAACTTAGTGAATACACTAATATAGGCACTGTTTATTGTTTTTTTTTTTCGTTTTTTTTTCGAAAAATTCATTAATTTAGTCACTTATGATTTCTTTTCGAGTTCAGTACATTGCCATTATTTAACTTCGAAAGTGTAAAGGGCACCAAAAACACGATCAATTGTTTGTTTCGAAAGTGCTTTAATTATTTGAGTTTGTTTTACCATAAAAAGTTTCAATTATAACTTGTTTTTAAAATTCAAAGAGCGAAAATGCTTGAATTTTGCCAGCCTAAAAAGTGCTCAAAACGTCATTTTTAGCCGGGTTTTTTTTTCAAAAAACTGCTTGTAGCGCAGAAAATTTTTGACGAAATAGAGTCTTTATAGTATTTTCGGAGAGCTCGGATAAATCCAATAGGTCAACCTAAAAAAAGTCGACTAATATTTCTAATTTTTTCAAAAAACCATTTTCCCATAAAAATTTCTGCGCAGGGCACTGGTTATAGCTAAAAAAGTTAGGATTTGAAGAAGAAGATTCTATAATACATTTGCGATTATGAACAGGGGCGGATCTAGGATTTTCTCGAGGGGGGGGGCGGATTTTCAAAAAATGTTGCAAAATTTTGACGACCTTTTTTTTTAGGTCGACCAATTTTTTTTCGAGCTCTCCCAAAGCACTGTTTTGCCCCTATTTTGGCTAAATTTTCTGCGCCGGAGGCAAATTTTTGAAAAAATAGTCAAAAAAGCCGTTTTTGTGCACTTTTTGAAAAATTTTGACAAAAAATCGCGTTTTTTTTTGGCGCGCGCTCCCCCTCAAAGTTAGTATATATTGGCGCCTTTAGATAAATTTTAGGGTCGGTTGGCCAAAAATGGATTTCTGAAAAAGTATCAAAGGGGGGACCCTTTGGGACGGCAGGGGGTCGAATCCCTGAGGAGGGGGCGTCCCCCCCCCCCCCCTAAATCCGCCCCTGATTATGAATATCTTAGTATCTGTGCATATGCTTTTTTCAGCCGAGAGAAGACACTCGGACCGTGATTGGGCGACGAGACATGTTCAGCTGGCTGTCATCTCGCAATCGGAGGAAGTCAGAGTGCAATAGCCAATCCATGGCCGATCTGGAGTACCAGTTTGCAAATCTAGACAAGTAAGCATTTAACGAGTGTGAAACCGTGCAACAATTAAAACATTGTTTGAGTCGAAGTTGAATTGATATGTCAATGCAAACGATATTAGGAAGATAACGACAGGTATGCAAGTTGAAAATAGCTAAATGATGTTCCAACTTATTTGTTGAATGACGATTGTTGCTGAGGCAAGCGTAGTTTTGTATCTATCTATAGGAGGAAAACGACGAGTGAGTACCCAATCCAGATGAGATACAGGAACCTCAAAAAGACTGCTAAGCAGGTGTGTGCAGTGTTCAAGTCAGATATTCACGGCAGGGGTCTCTACTCTCTACAGGCCATCTTCCCAGACGAGATGATCATAGAGTACACTGGGGAGATCATAAGGGCCATACACACGGACAAGAGAGAGAACTACTACGAGAGCAAGGTGAGCTATTAATTAATAGATACGAAGATATGTACACAATTCAGGGTATCCGGTTGCAGGTGAGCAGCCGTGGCTGAGTGTTTAAGACACGCGTCCTTTAACATAAAGATCGTGGGTTCGAATCCCGCTTCAATTACGGTCGGAGGGGTCTCAATTTCATCCGCCTCCTCAAGGTGCGACGGGCTACGGAAAAATGAATGACATCTCTCTCCCCCACGGAAGAGTAAACCCAAGGAAGAACGGCGGGAGCTGGGATGGGGGCTAATAGAAAAAATTAAGCTTTGATTTTTTGACCTCCGATTTTCTTTTAATTTAAATGATACTTAGTTTTTATTTATTCCTGTACTTGTGCGGGTAATTGGTATTCCAGAATTTTTGCCCACTTTGAATTTTTTCTACGATATGAGAATGTTTGTAATTCATTGTACTTTTATTTTTAAGTTATATTACTTGTCCACTGTTTATTCCAATCTATCTCTCGTGCGATTGATGCATTTTTTTATCGATTTTGCTCAACTATATCACGTTGAAACTATTGACCCGCAGATTGTGTTTTGCACTAGTAAAGTAGATTAATTAGCCATGAATGAGCCATAAGAACCTGATAGTAATTGAGAGAAAAAAAAATCAGAAAAAGAATCACGGCTGAAAGATCTTTATTATTATTATATCTCATTGACTCGCTGCAAGCTTTGTTAAAGCTAATGAAAATCGGCTGAAAAAACAGTCCCAAAGCCATAGTTCCTTCTTTTGACCTTTTTACAACCTTTGACATTTTAAAAGATGTATGTTGGCTATGTTTTGTTGATTTAGGCGCCGATTTACTTAAACCTGGAGGATCTAATTTCCCAATAGAATACGAGTTAATTGGACAATTAATAGGTCTCGTGAATCAAGGCTCAACATAACACAAAAAGTTCAATGAAGTTTATCTTGCTCTGATACTTAAGTTGCTCTGATACCGAGTTAAGTTGATTTCTTTGCTTTTACATAAGCAAAGCCTGTGTGATAGTATGAACTCTTTTTTTCCAAGCTAAGTCGCAAATATTAGTGTTCATTTTGGAAGTTCATTTTGATCAATAACTAGCTATTAAGTACAGCCAATGCTAAGGATTTTAACACACACTATTATTACAAATAGCACTTAAGCTTCAAGATATCATAGATCTGTAGCGTAGAGGTAGGGGAGGAGACCTGCAACATAAGCAAAGCCTGTGTGATAGTATGAACTCTTTTTTTTCCAAGCTAAGTCGCAAATATTAGTGTTCATTTTGGAAGAGTTCATTTTGATCAATAACTAGCTATTAAGTACAGCCAATGCTAAGGATTTTAACACACACTATTATTACAAATAGCACTTAAGCTTCAAGATATCATAGATCTGTAGCGTAGAGGTAGGAGAGGAGACCTGCAACAAGATAAAAGGGTTCGAACGTGGTTTTCGAGGTGTACTCCCTTCGAGTGGGGAAAAGCGCTGCAAACAAAACGTACACCAGGGGAGTGTGGGAAGGAACGACTTACCCAGCCAAGGCAAAGAAGTCGGACACCCCCCCCCCCCCCCCCTCCTATCAAACACCACGGGGACCAGCCGACTCCAGTGGGAAAACAAAGGCGATCAATGGTTCTCGGACGAGCACCATTCTCATGTTTGGCGGGTTTTTGGCAGCTGGACCGGGTAAACCTGCATACTGGGTCCAGCTTTTGGTGAGTGCAGGAGACGTGGAACGAAACCCAGGTCCTGAAACATACGTATGTCCGATCTGTGGGAAGGAAATCAAGGATAGGCGGCAGATAAGCGTGTGGTGTCATTTAGGGGGGTATGTCCACATGAAATGCACAAGCATGCGGAGTATCAAGGGATACTCAGATGAGTTTGTATGCGACCGGTGCTCCTGGTGTAAAGGAGAGGGAGGAAAACGAGAGATAAGGGAAAGAAGACGAACAGAAAAACGGAAACGTAGGGAGAAGGTGCAAAAGACCAGAGCAGAAAAGAGGGAAAGGGAAGCAAAGACGAAGGGGAAAGGTAAAGCAACAAGGGTATGGACGTGGAACATACAGGGGGCGAGAGTCTCGTTCCCTAGACGGAATCGTTTTGCAGAAATCCTAAGATGTATAAGCAAGAGTAACGCGGAAGTGGTATTACTGTCCGAACTGAGGGAAAAAGAGGAAGGAATGAAATGGATTAAAGCAAAAGACATGTTTGGGGTCCTTATACACGGCAAAAGAAGCGGGATAATACTCCGAGACGAATGGGCGCTAGATTGGAGAGACCAAGGATGCAAGAGGACATGCGGGGACAGGAGTTCGGCAGTAGAGGTCAACCAAATCAAGTTTGTAGCGACATACCAGCCCCTTTGGAATAGCGATAGACGGGATTTCGATGCGTATAGAGAAGAGCTAAACGAAATGATTAGATGTGGCGCAAAAAAGCTAGTACTAGGAGGCGACTTCAACTCCAGTGTAGGGGACACCTCCCAGAGGGAAGAAGATGACGCGGTAGGACCATTCGGACTGGGTAGGACCAACGCGGCGGGGAGGGATCTAATAGAATGGTGTCACGAACAGGGGTTAACCTGGACTAGCTCCTTCTTTAGGCACAACAGGAGGGGAACCTGGAAGTGCCCAGGAAGAAGAACATGGCACGAAATTGACGGATTCATGGTGAAGAAAAAAGACCGGAGCAGGGTAGTGATGAGTATAAACACGGTAATAGCGGGTACATCTCTATCGGACCACAGGCCGAAATGCATGGAGGTCTGGAGAAGGAAGGGGGCGAAGGCAAATAGGAAAAGTGAGACTCAAAGGAAAATAAACTGGGAAGCTCTTCGAGATGGATCAATCCGGCAAGCATTCGCATCGACAGTAGACGGTAAAAGAGAGCAACAGGGTACGGGTGAGGAAAGTGAACGCCTAATCAACTTGATTAATGAAGCGGGTACAGAAGTGTGCGGATTTAAAGAAAAGAAAGCACTGAGTCCATGGCTGGATACGCATTTAGAAGAAATACAGGGGTTCAAACGGAGGATCGGGGCACTTACGAAGAGTTTTGAACGAACACGAACGGAAAACTTTAAAATACAAAGGCAGGAGGTCAGGAAAGAGTACAAGAAGGCTAAAAGAAGATGGGAAGAAGAGTGGTGGCTTAAACTGGTAGACGAAACAAAGGACGCCGAAGTGAAAGGGGACATAAGACGCATGTACAAGACACTAAGGTACTTAGGGGGAAAAACCTCCAGAACATAGAAGAAGAATTTTTCTCGCCAGAAGAGTTCAGACGACACTTCATGAAAGTCTCGGAAGACAGATACGAGCGGGACGTCATAGAGATAATGAGAACGGCATCGTCAACAGAAATTAAGGACTCTCCAGAGGCAAAGGCAGCAGCGGAAGAGATGCAAGAAGCAATAACCTTCGTGGAATTCGAACGAGAACTGGCGAACATGAAAGACGGAGCGGCAGGAGTAGACAATGTAAGTGTTAGCGCAGTGAAAGCCTTAAGTATAGACACCCGGAAAGAACTATACCAATGCATGATGGAACAATTAGCCACACCGGTTGAGAACTGGGCCGACAAAGCTAAGGAAGGATGGGTCATACCCCTACATAAGAAAGGAGCTAGAAATGAACTCGACAACTACAGGGGTGTGTGCCTACTCCCGGTGTTGAGCAGGATAATGGCACGGATACTAACGAGTAGGATTAGAAAATGGGCGGAGAAGATAGAGGCATGTGGTGAGAATCAAAATGGTTTCAGAGAAGGACGATCGACGTGTGACGCAACGCAAATCATACTGAGAAAAGATGAGGAAACAAGGAGGGTATTTGGGAAGGCGGAGACGACCGGGAACAGACCGGGAGCTGTACTGTTAGATATAACAAAAGCATACCCCCGAGTCAACAGGCCCTTATTGTGGATGGTTTTGGAAAACTTAGGAATTACAGAGGGTGTGATAGAGGTCTTGAAAAACCTGCATGAAGGAACGAAATACAAAGTTAAGGGTCGAGGGGAACTAAGCGAGGAATGGTTACCGGTACGAGGTCTACGAGAGGGTTGCGCTACATCTCCGATACTTTTCAATGTGTATCACGCACAGGCGATGCGGTTAGCTGCCAAAAAACGAAGAGAAAAAGCGGCGGAGATAGGCGAAGAGTGCGGTCTAGTATGGTCGTGGGGACCAGGTAATAGTCTCCCTCCAATAGAAGTAAAGAGGGCCTTAAGGAGCAGCACCCAGGAAGTCTTTCGATTAGAAGAGTCCCTTTTCGCAGACGACTCAACTCTCCTGGGCTGGACGGAAGAATTAGCGGTCGGCAAAGAAACGGTCAAGGCGGAAATGATGAAGTTCGAGGAAAAATGTCACAACGGAAAAGAGGAATACATAGCTTTTGGAAGCGAGACAGCGAATTGTACGAGGATGTTAGGGACGCTAATAGGGAGGAAGCAGGACAGGGCAGTGAGGATTAAAAGGGGATACTGGGCGTGGTCAAAAGTAAGAAGATGGTTGTGGAAAACAAAGGTCAGTAAACGAACGAAGGCAATTATTGTACAGGCAGTGGTCGAATCAACAATGCTCTTTGACTGCAGTGCAAGAGCATGGACAGTGACTGATATGGCGAAGATGCAGAGCATGGCGGATAAATGCTACCGGTGGATATGGAATGAGGGGAGAGGTTTAACACTCTTGCGAATGGAAAGAGAGGGGGTCAATAGTTTCGAGATACGTAGGGTTCTGGGGATAACATCTATCAGAACAAAAATAGAGACGCGGGCGTTGGAAAGGATGGGCCACGTCCTTCGGATGAGCAACAACAGGACAACTAAAAAAGTTATACTAGGGCACTGGACAAACGAGAGAACACAACAGGGTAGGTTAAATGGAGGCGTGGTTAATTACTGGAGGCGACTCATAAGGGAAGCGGGAGAGGACTGGACGAATATAGAAAATTTAACACAGGACCGGAAAAAATGGAAGGCGACAGTGAAAAGGAGAAAAGAAGCGCTAGAGAAATAGGAGAGTGAAATGTGCAGATACAGGGGAGGGGAGAAACCTAGGAGCCAGGCGAGGTATCAGGGAGAAAACTTAACATGCAGGTGGGAGGGATGCGGACGAATTTGTAAAACGAAAGGAGGTCTAGTGCAGCATGAACGACGAGTTCACAGGATACAGGAGAGGGTGTTTAAATGCGATAGATGCAACAGAACTTTCGCGGAGAAGCACAACTTAACAAACCACAGCAAGAGCTGTAAGGGGGACCAGATGGGTAGGTGTGGGGACTGCGCGGTGACGGTAACAAGGGGTAATATGGCGAGTCATAGGAGGAGTTGCGGAGGAGGGAGTGGAACGGTAGGGAACACGGCGGCAAGGGAGACGGGAGGTAACAGGTACACGGGGACCAGGGAGAGGAAAGAGTGTGGATCCTGCGGAGCCTGGATCACTGCTAATAACCTAGCCAAGCATGAGAGGAAGTGCCAGAACGAACCACCCAAGGCCCCCCGAGGGGCGTAAATGGGAAACAGAACAGAACAGGGTTCGAACGTGGGCAGGTTCGGATGTTTTTAATGAACTTTTTCGTATACTAGTTTAAATGCGTCCGCTTTATAAATAGGCATGTTAGTTGGTTAATTTCTTTTTTTTTCAAGTTCACAGGTACTGCTAATGCGTCATAATTGGCGTGCATCACTTAGCGATTATGTAGACTCGTAATTGGCGTGCGTGGCTGAAGAAATTTTGTAGTCTCAAAGGTTTACTCATTCAGTTTTTCAAGTAGCGCTATCGATCATATTTTTGCTTGTGTACGCGAAGTACACCTTCGCCTCTTTGTTCGAATGTTTTTTTTTGGTTTTTCAAATGCTTTAAGAACCAGTTAGTAATAGACAAAGTATTGGAAGAGTTCATTTTGATCAATAACTAGCTATTAAGTACAGCCAATGCTAAGGATTTTAACACACACTATTATTACAAATAGCACTTAAGCTTCAAGATATCATAGATCTGTAGCGTAGAGGTAGGGGAGGAGACCTGCAACAAGATAAGAGGGTTCGAACGTGGTCAGGTTCGGATGTTTTCAATGAACTTTTTCGTATTCTAGTTTAAATGCGTCCGCTCTATAAATAGGCATGTTAGTTGGTTAATTTTTTTTTCAAGTTCACTGGTACTGCTAATGCGTCATAATTGGCGTGCATCACTTAGCGATTATGTAGACTCGTAATTGGCGTGCGTGGCTTAAGAAATTTTTTAGTCTCAAAGTTTTACTCATTCAGTTTTTCAAGTAGCGCTATCGATCATATTTTTGCTTGTATACGCGAAGTACACCTTCGCCTCTGTGTTTGAATGTTTTTTTTTTGGTTTTTCAAATGCTTTAAGAACCAGTTAGTAATAGACAAAGTATTGGAAAAAAATCCACACGAATTAGATTGGAAATTTAGTCTGAAATTTTTTAGGATAAAAACAAATAAGAACGGACCTGCTTTTCTCGAGACAGACAATGTTGGTGAATTTTTTTTTGAGTAGAAATCACCGCTGAAGGATCTTTATTATGCTATCTCATTTGATTCGCTGCAAGCTTTGTTTAAACTAATCAAAATCGGCTAAAAAAATAGTCCCTACGCCATAGTTCCTTCTTTTGACCTTTTTACAACCTTTGACATTTTAAAAGATGTCTGTCGGCTATGTTTTGTTGATTTAGGCGCCCATTTAATTAAACCTGAATGATCCAATTTTCCAATAAAAAACGAGTTAATTGAACATTTAATAGTTCTCGTGAATCAAGGTTCAACATAACACAAGTAGATCAGTGAGGTTTATCTTGCTCTGATACTTAAGTTGCTCTGATACCGAGTTAAGTTGATTTCATTGTTTTTTCATAAGCAAAGCCTGTGTGATAGTATGAACTCTTTTTTCCAAGCTAAGTCGCAAATATTAGTGTTCATTTTGAAAGAGTTCATTTTGATCAATAACTAGCTATTAAGTACAGCCAATGCTAAGCGATATCTACACACACTATTATTTTACAAATAGCACTTAAGCTTCAAGGTATCATAGATTTGCGCAGCGTAGAGGTAGGGGAGGAGACCTGCAACAAGATAAGAGGGTTCGAACCTGGGTAGGGTCGGATGTTTTTAATGAACTTTTTCGTATACTAGTTTAAATGCGTCCGCTCTATAAATAGGCATGTTAGTTGGTTAATTTATTTTTTTTTCAAGTTCACTGGTACTGCCATTGCGTCATATTTGGCGTGCGTCGATTAAGAAATTTTGTAGACTCAAAGCTTTACTCATTCAGTTTTTCAAGTAGCGTTATCGATCATATTTTTGCTTGCGTATGCGAAGTGCAACTTCGCCTGTGTTTGAATGTTTTTTTTTGTTTTTTAAATGCTTTAAGAACCAGTTAGTAATAGACAAAGTATTGCAAAAAAATCCCGAGCGAATTTGATTGGAAATTCAGTCTGAAATTTTTCAGGATAAAAACAAATAAGAACGGACCTGTTTTTCTCGACACAGACAATGTTGATGAAATTTTTTTGAGCACAAATCACCGCTGAAGGATCTTTAAACAAAGCTTACAGGGAGTCAAATGAGATAGCATAATAAAGTAATCAAAATCGGCTGAAAAATAGTCCCTACGCCATAGTTCCTGCTTTTGAACTTTTTACAACCACTGACTTTCTAAGAAATGTCTGTCGGCTATGTTCTGTTGATTTAGGCGCCGACTTGATAAAACCTGAAAGATATTAATATTCAATAGAGAACAAGGATATTGGACGACTTAAAGTAATCAGTTTTGGCTTAAAAAAAAACAGTCCCCACGCCTTAGTTTCTTCCCACTTCGTAAAGTGAACGGAACAATAAGTGAAGTGGCAGGGGCAGTTTTTAAAATTTTTGCAACCATTGACCTTCAACACATTTCTGTCGGCTATGTTATTATGATTCAGCTATCGATTTAGAAATAAACCCTAAAAGATCTAATTTCTTACAAGGCAACGAGTTTTTTTGGACAATTAAAAGGTATCGTGCGTCAAGGCTCAACATAACCCGAGAATAGCAATGAAGTTTATCTTGCTTTGATACTTTTAATGGAGTTAAGTTGATTTTATTGTATTTTTAAGAGTCGATGAACGTGGTTCAGGTTCTTATATAGGGCGCGATGATTTTTTTGTTTTTTTTTAGGAAAAGTCTTAAAATTTGTTCAGGCTCAAGTTTTCTTTTTCGCAGTTCGATCCAACAGCGAAAGTGTAAAGGTCTTGAAAAATGTGATCGACTTCGAAAACGGAATTTAGTTATTAGATTTCCCCAAAAAATTTTACCTATTGATCCAATTTTCTCAAATGGGGTTAATTTTATCAAGAAAAAGGTTAATAAGAAATCCAATTAGCTTCGAGGCCCTCTGTTGGAAATTCGAAAGTTGAGAAAAACAAGTCAGTATTTTGTTTCTGCGTTTGTTGAATCTTTTCCAACTGTCTGTCAAATATTTGTCCTGTAAAAATCGATAAGGTTAGAATGTTCCTTTTTAGGGAATTGGCTGCTACATGTTCCGAGTGGACAACAAACACGTTATAGATGCGACCATTAGTGGAAACGCAGCCAGATTCATCAACCATTCTTGCCAGCCGAATTGCTACTCACGAGTGCTCGTGGCCGAGAACAGGAAGCACATCGTCATCTTCGCAATGAGACACATTTTAAGAGGCGAAGAGTTGACTTACGACTATAAATTCGATATTGAAGACGATTCGTCTAAGTTGGACTGTCTTTGCAATTCGAGGAACTGCCGCAAGTTCCTCAACTGAATCAATCATGTTTGCATTTAAGTTTTGTCGAAAACTCATGATTTGAACTAATTTATTTATACGTTGTTGATAGTTTTCCATGCTGTAATTTTACTTACCGGATTTTGTGGCCTTATTTTTACTTAAACATTGATTCTTAAGCGTTGATCTATTTTGATTTGTTTTTGCAAAAATTGCTGATATTTTTAATTCGAATATTTTTCATTCAAGTATTGCACAAGTTTTTCCTTATAAGACAGATTGGTTATTCATAGGCAAATCTTTTGTTCTGCTGTGTCGATTGACTCTCGTGTAATTTTTTTTCAGGTGAAGGATGAAAAGATTTGCGAACATCATGAAATCGGCCGCTTCTGGCGGAGGTGGTGGATCGGGAGGGGTACCTACAGGTCTAGCAGCGCTAGGAATTGGCACCCTTGGTCTTGCCTATGGAGGTACGAAATCCATCTATCAAGTTGAGGGTGGTTGCAGAGCAATTTTGTTCCACCGGATTGGAGGTGTTGGGAAAGAAATTTTCACTGAAGGTCTTCATTTTCGATTACCATGGTTCCAAACTCCAATTATTTACGACGTGAGGACAAAGCCCAACCAAATTTCGTCTCTTACTGGAAGTAAAGACTTGCAATCTGTCAATGTTACGTTGCGAGTGTTGTCGCGTCCAGATGGATCTATGCTGCCCAAAATATACCAGACTCTGGGAACGGATTACAACGAAAGAGTGCTGCCCTCGATTGTGAACGAGGTGCTGAAAAGTGTGGTGGCGAAGTTCAACGCGAGTCAACTGATCACGCTGCGGCCTCAAGTCTCAGCCATGATTAGAGAGGAGTTGACTGAACGAGCTAAAGACTTTTACATCATTCTGGACGATGTATCGATTACTGATTTGTCGTTTTCGCCAGTTTACACAGCTGCGGTAGAAGCGAAACAAGTCGCTCAACAGGAGGCGCAAAGAGCCCAGTTTATTGTGGAGCGGGCGAAGCAAGAACGCCAGCAAAAGATAGTACAAGCGGAGGGAGAATCGGAGGCTGCCAAACTGATCGGAAAGTCCGTAGCCCAGAACCAGGGATACCTCAAATTGAGAAGAATCCAGGCGGCCCAAGGTATTTCACGTGTGATGTCGAACAGCGCAAATAGAATGTTTTTGGATGCCAATTCGCTTCTGTTAAATTTGGACAGCCGAGAGTTTGATGAGGACATGGACAAATCAGTTATGAAGAGAAGAAAATAAAATGACGGACTTGTGTAGTGGCATGTTGACATTTAAACTTGTTCTCTTAATTGTTTCTGGATGATCCCTTTAAATGAACTGATCTCAAAATGATTCAAAGGAGTTTGAGATTAAAAGGAGTGCAAATATATTCATTTGAACCTAGTGTTTTGACTAGCAGGCAAACAGGCTCATGGAAATTCTCCTCGAAGCGATCTTGACAGCAAACAGTCTTTTTGTTATCGCTTACAATTGCCGCAAAGAAGACGCAAAGCAAAGTTGTTTTTATAAAATGTTTTTTAAAAGGTTTGAAATATAGGTTCATTTGTTTTTCAGAGTTTTGTGACAAATATATTATGGATGTCTTTGCAAAATCTAAAGGCAGCTATTATTGAATATTTTCACTTGAAAGAATCTGACGAACAAATTGCTTGTATTCCAGCTAAATATCAAAAACACCAAAATTGTATAATATTTAAAAGCGATGATTTTGCACATCCCTACTGGAAAAGTAGTGAAGCTGAGTTGTGGGAGTTTGTGTGCAAGTTTTGCAAAGTTGAAAAAATCGCGGTACAGTCGTTCATCAACAACGATGGTTTCAGAAGTCCTAATTGTACACTAGTTATTGGCACAGACCCCTGGGTCATACATAGAGATAATGGAATCAAATATTGTTTTAATATCACGAAATCAATGTTTTGTTTCGGAAACATTTCTGAAAAAATTAGAGTATCGAAATTCGATTGCTCAGAAGAGGTCGTGGTCGATTTGTTTGCTGGAATTGGTTATTTCACGCTTCCCTTTTTAGTTCATGCGAAAGCAAAATTTCTATACGCTTGCGAGTGGAATCCAGCATCGTGCGAAGCTCTGAGACGTTCTCTCGTTTTGAACAAAGCTGACAACCGATGTCAAGTTTTAGAGGGGGATAACCGCAAGGTCTGTCCCGCAAACGTTGCTGATAGAATCAATCTTGGCCTGATTCCAGAATGTTCCGAATTCTACGAAGCTGCCTGCAGAGCCATAAAATTGACCGGAGGAATTTTGCATGTTCACAGAAATGTTTTAATTAGTGGAATTAACAAGGAACTCGGTTCAATGAATGATGCAAATCCAAATATTTTCTGCAGCTGGACGCCGCGAACAGATTGTGATCAAAAATGTTTACAAGTAGGCATGAGCATATGTCACGAATTAACTGGTAAACTTCTAAAAGTAAAAAACTATTCATACCATGTTGGCCTTCAAAATGTCTGTAAAGTTAAAAACTATGCACCCCATATTCAACACTTTGTTTTTGATATCCATATTAGTCAATAAAAAACTAGATATCACTTTTTTCATCTAATTTCAATGGGAGTAGTTAGATTAGAACGCAGAAAAACTATTCTTTTTTATATTTCCCAACTGCTATACCCTCCTCAGCTCAGGTTCTTCTGATCTTTTGTATTATGATAGTTCCGTACACTAAATGTGTGCATGAATATCTCGTATTTTTCCACGCTTACTACAAAGAAATCTTACCTTACCACGCTTACCTATGTACCACCTTTGTTTACACTTGCAAAAGCAAAAGTCTTGTCATCGGGAACTAGACTTTTTTCCCTGTAAACAACTTTTCTTGCACTTTTTACCCTTGCAAGTTGCAATAAGCAAGGGTATTGCAACTGGGTACTAGACTTCTTTTTTCTTTAACTAACTTTGGTCACAGAATGGTAAATTCTTAGAAAGAAGTTTGAAATAGTAAAAAATGCAGCTTATGCAGCGTACTTGTTTTGCCTGTATAGGGATTGCATTGTAGCGTATAGATAAAATCTTTCTGTTTTTCTTACTGAAAATATTTCGGCTGTTTTTCAGCTGATTAAGTGTCGGCTTTAATTCTGTCGTCTTATTTGCCCAATATTTTTTCCAGTAGTTTCTTAGTTTAATTCAACTTTGATGTTGTATGTTTGGAAATTTGAAATCACTTCTACCTTTTTTGAAAAGCGTTAGAAAAAATATGAAAAAGTTTCTCTGATCGGCCTGCTGTTCTTATCATATTATTTTTGACGAAGGTAATTAAAGTCATAATTTTGTTCGCATTTTTCTTGGTGTATTTTTCAATTAATTGATTTTTATTTTGCTTTAAGTGCTTTCTAGCCATTATTTTTTTGTAAAACGATAAATTCTCTAAGCAAAAGACTCCGTTTTAGGAAGCCTTAAACGCTATCAGTTGACAAATTACCTCCAAATTGTTTCAAAATGAAAAATTTTGTTTGTGTGCGCTATTTGTTTCTAGTACACGTATTGTTTGTTTTCTCCTTGTAATGTTTTTTTCATTTGCAATTCAAGTTTCAGCAGGCCATTGTGATTTAGGTGTTTCGTTTTTTTTTTAATCCACCAAAACTTGTTGATATCGAAAAAAAATGAAATGGACGACAGTTTTTTTGCCTATATTATTCTGTTGGAGAATTTTTTGTCTTAGTTTTGGAGAACTTTTTTGTCTTAGTTTGTTCAAACTTAGTTCACAGCAACATTTTCTGCTCTTAAAAATTCCACGTTTGGTTTTTTAGGATCTTTTATCCTAGTTTTGTCTGCATAGTTACCGCTCGGTAAATTTTTATGCTTGTTCAATGCTGGTCGTTGTGTTCCGCCATAGGTTATCATTAAAATGAGAGATGAATATATAAAAAATTCGGATTTTGTTTTTTGCCTTTCGCGACTTGGTGGCTTTGTATCGCAAGTGGTGCGAAGGCCAGCTTCGCATCTGTGTTCATTTTTTATCTTAGCAGTTTTTGGGTTCCTGTGCATTTGGCCTAGCTAGATAAAACGCAATCGCTTTTGCAGTCGAAGATCCGGGGTTGAAGTCCTGGTGGGGCCTTGTTTTTTTCAATATGTAAGCACTTGAAAAAATTTTTCCGGTTAAATTTGAACTGTCGGGATTTCGTTTGTCTGCTCAAGTTTTTTCTGGCTGACTTGCCACTTCACCGGTTTTGCATGTGATGTAGGCAACGTGCATTGCAGTTTCAGGGAAGGCTTGAAATTTTTAAAAAAAGTTGTGTTTACAAGTAAATATATTTTTTCGGCTCAACTGGTGTTTGCTCGAAAATTGTTGGCTTAGTTGCCACAAGTCGGTTTTTTTCTGTGATGTACGCTATTTTCAGTTTAATAGCGATTGTTGATCACTGTAGATACAGGAGGGACCTAAAACTTCACAAAGATTGTTTATGAAACCTTTTTTTTCCGGCTCAACTTGTGTCTGCTCAAAGAGTGTTGGCATTGTTTACTCTTCATTACGCTTGCGACGCGAGTGTATTAGTACGAACCTTCTTTTTTTATTCCAACCTAAGTCGCACATACAGGTGCCTTTTTTGGAGCACCTTAACAGATTTTTAATAGCTTTTCATGTGCTTTGACTTTCGAATAGTACAAAAATAACACAGTTGATGCATTTTTAATTCATCAAATGAACCGAAAAAAAGCAATTTGTTTCAAACAACATAACAATAATGAAAACTCGATTTCAGAAATTTTCTTAGGCGATATATCTCGAAATTTTTTGAAATGCATATTTTATACATAATGTGGCTTTATGCTTTGCGATTTGTTATGTGCAAAGTTAGAGTGGATGCATTCAGTTTGCTTTATTCCAAATTATCACTTGCAAAATTGAGTCTATTTGTGTTTGGTGCCACTTTTGGTGAATGGCATTGGTAATTTATTAGCATATGTAGCTGCTTTATTCGTGGCTAGTGTTTGTCGGTTGTTAATTTTGCGTGGCTGAGTAGATAGTGCGTGAGACTCAAAATCTCTTGATTGCAGTAGGTCGCAGATTCGAATTCTATACGTAGCCGAGTTTTTGCTAAATCGAGGCTTACTCTTGCTTTTTCTCATTTCATTTGGTAGAGCTGATCTTATTAATTCGAGGCTTATTTCTATCTTTTCTTATTTCACTTGATAAAGCTTTTTTTGTCGTGTTCTCGCTAGTATTTGCGAAGCGCAGCTTCGACTCTGTGTTTCACATTTAATTTTCGATATTGTCCAACGTTTGTAGTTTTCTTTTACTAAAAACTGTTCAAGACCAATTAAAGGGCTGCTTTGCCCTGACATATGAGCAGTCTTTTATCACTAAAAGTCGGTTGAAACTAAAGCACGACATCTGTTTCAAGTCTGTACAAACTTAGTCATATATCAGAAACCAAGTTCAATTATCATGGCTTACAATATCAATCATTTTTGTTGAAATTACGCTGGCGATTAGCAAGCGTTATCTCTCCGAAATAGAGATTTGTTTTCGGGTTGACGATTCATGACGATTCTTTTAACAAAATCACTTGTATCTTGGCTCAATAAAAAAATCAAACTTCTTAGGATTCTCGGCCAACTTATCCTGGAGGTAACGAATATGCCTGGGACGGCAAATGTCGAATCTGACCAAGACATGTTTTTGTTCAACCGTTTTTTTTTGTTTCAATTAAAACTGTTTGCTGATCTTTTGTTGGCTTCGAATCTGTTGGTTCGAATCTGACCAAGACATGTTTTTGTTCAACCGGTTTTTTTTGTTTCAATTAAAACTGTTTGCTGATCTTTTGTTGGCTTACTTGTCACTTTTTGGAATTGTTTTTTGCTGCGCATATTTTTCTTTAATTTTGCTTTTAGTCTTTGATTTACTCTTAGTTTTTAATTTTACTTGTGCCGGCCCTATATGTTTCAGCCTGTTTGTTATGGTCCTAATGACCTAATGTTGGATTGTTTCACGTTTCAAGTTGGTAGTATGTTAATCAATCGGTTTGTTCAAATTTCGCTATGGAAAAATATTTCCACCTTTATTAGAAAAAAATTCAATTTTCTTAAAAGTTTCTACTGATTTTTTTTTTGAAAAAAAAGGTCACAGTTGAGAGACCGCATACTCCCTTGTGTGCCTGCATGCTCCCCTGGAGTCTCTTTATAGTTTACCACTCTGTATACAGCGTTCGAAAAAGTCTGTGGGGAAAATGTTAAATATGGTTTTGATTTTTTTAATCGTCTTCTCATAAACTATCACTCTCAAATTTTAAATTTCGATGTCAGAGATTAGAACGGATTTGAAACACAAGCTGCATAAGCAGCTACGCCCATAATTCTTACCCATAAAGTTATGGACCTCTGAATGGTCTTTTTTTTTATTTCGACCGTTTTCTTGAATCTTTGTGACTTTTCTCAAAAATTACACTCTCAGATATGGTAGTGCGGGTTCAATCGAGACAGCGGGTACTTAAAAACTCACTTGCATTAGCGGTTACCACAACGTTTTTACCTGAAAAATTATCGACCTCGGAAAAGTCAAACTTTTGATTTTTTAACCGTTTTTTGAACTTTTTGAATGTTCTCAAAAACTACCTCGCTATATCTGAAATTTCGGTTCATTTCTAAGAACGGATTGCGGTAAGCTCATTCGTTCATGCGAATCAAAAATTATGGCTATCGGAAAATCTGATATCAAAAATCATGGCTATCGGAAAAGTAAAAATTTTGATTTTTCGACCGTTTTGAATGAGTTTTTGACTTTTCTCGGGAACTACGCTTCAAAATCTGAGATTTCGGGTTCAATCGAAAATACAGGTTGCGTAAATCCCACCTGCAGAAGCGGCTACGCCCTATTTTTCATACAAAAAGCTATAATTCTCAAATTATTGATTTATTGACAGAAACTGTCAACAAATTATTGATTTGTTGACAGTTTCTGGACTTTTCTCGCAAAATATCCTGCCAAATCTGATATCATAGGTTCAATCAAAATAACAGGTTGTTGAAAGCTTACCTTTTTAATTGACATTACCCAGTTTTTTTTTAAAAAAAAATAATGAACTTCAAACAAAACAAAGTTTTAACACTTTGGCAGTTTTTTGGAAATTTTTGACTAGGCGAAAACTACCGTGCCAATTCTTCTCTGCTTAAGCGGCCACAACCTGCTTTTTTAAAATGGATTTTGGAAAGTATTTTGACCGCTTTTTAGAACGTTTGACCGTTTTTTTGAAATTAGTTTAAATTTCTTGAAATTCATCCAATCAAATCTGAGATATAAAGTTCAATTGAAAGAAACGGTTCCGATAATTGTTCTTGCTGAAATGGCGACTTCTTAATTTTTTGTAAAACAAAAGTTTTTTTTTGGAAAATTGTTGTTCTCAACATTTTTATTCTTCTCTTTTATTTTAGTAGAGAAAAAAAGATAGGTTTTGGGCAAAGCCCAATTTTTCAAATCACATTTTTTGTGCCGCATCAATATAGAAAATCATTCAATATCAAAGACATACCTCCAGCTTTAGCTGGGCCACTAATTTTTTTTATCGAAACATTTGAAA